GGACACCAGTGACACCAGCCCCATGTCCCCCAACCCCAAGGGACACCAGTGACACCAGCCCCAAGGGACACCAGTGACACCAGCCCCATGTCCCCAGCCCCAAGTGACACCAATTCCCCTGCCCAGCCCCTGCTCCTGTGTCACTGTCACCTCCATCCCTGCCCCTGCAACCCAGCTCACCTGCACAAACCATTTCCTTTTCAGGGAGATGTGGCCCTAGTATGTATTTTCAGGATACAGATTCATTTATTCTCAATGAAAATTGGTAGAAATTAGCCAATGAATTGGCTTGGTTGGGCTTGTGTTGGTATTTTTACAAAGACAGGCTGATAAAGTTTGGGACTGAGTTGCAGCAGGCTGGGATTTGAACAAACACCCTCCCCAGAACATTTATTTGTCATTTACAGAGTAAGGGACTTTCAGCAGCACCCCATCACTCGTGAAAATGTGAGTTCCAGTCATGGGAACAGGCAGGATCTCTTCCTTCACAAAGATCTCGTTGTCCCACACCAATATAAAATGAATTGGTTTCTTACAATGGTGCAGGTATCTTGGCCCAAACTCAGTGCGCTGTAACCCTTTACTGTTCCATCTTTAAAAATTGCCTCAGACACTCATTTCTACATAATTATGAAGCAAGGCTATGTGGACACTAAAGGGGGGAGAGGGGGGACAAAAACTGGGTTATTTCATATACCAAGGAGGACAGTGACTCAAGCCAAACCCAGAAAGTCCCAAGCACTTTCCTCCACCTTTCCTTAAAAAAAGGGAGGTTGGGACATTTGGTACTGTACAAAACTGAGCTCTGAATGTCCAGACATGACTCAGGGCTCATTACAAAAGAGCCTCGTGCTAACTTTCACCACAGTGACCTGGCTCCCAGTGATTTCACTGTGTGATAACGCTCAGTCCACTGAAATCATAATTAAAAACAAAAGAAAAAAAAAAACCCTTTGGATTGATTGTGCAACAGGAGTGCAACAAGAAGCCAATCGAAACACGTAAGAGTTTTATTTTTAATTATGGAACTAAAAATGCTAATAGTTTATTAACATAAGGTTGCAAATTAAAAAGACAAATGCCAGAACTCTTTAACAGTCTGCACTGTAGAAATGTAAAAGACTTGTGCTTTAAACATTGCTGTACCAGACACGGCAGGGCTGCTCCTCCTCCCTGCCCCTCTCTCCCACATTGCAGGGACAAACCCCTCACTGACACCCCCAATTTGCAAATTCAAACGACTCTGGTAAAGCAGAGACTCAGCACAGCCATTCCCAGCCCCAACAGCCCGTGTGTCACACAGAGGAAGAAAAATAAACGAGAAAAACCCAGGAGCTGGTGGCAGACAGGGCCACTTACATCGCAGATCTCATTTTTAACAGCGCACATAAACGCAAGAATTTGAGAGATCAGCTCAAGCATTCACAGGCTCATCTCTCACGGGTTTTTGTACCCTTTTTCCATTTTATTTTCTTTTAAAAGATCCTCTTCAGCAGTCCAGATATTGCCTAGATTACACCTAATAACTTTCCCTAGAGACAGAAGTTTTTAACTCCACCATTGCAAAGCATCCTATGCCTCAAGTTTTCACCATAGGGTGGAGTCTGGAGTCACAGGGAATAATTTCAAATGAGAGTTTGAAATATTTCCTACAGGGATGTCTTTTTTGGAAACCCAAATACTTCTATCAAAACACTTACTTGAAAGGGCAAAATCAGAACCCTATAACTGAGGGTTTCCTTCTGCTCTGACTTGAAATTCTTTTGTTTGCAAGGAGGTTTAAAAGCACAACTAAGCTCATTTTCTTTACAGAAAATTCAGAATAAAAGTGAGATCTCATGGCTGCAGAGACAGTAACTGCCTTGCAATAAAAAACAAACAAACAAACAAAAAAGTGATTTGTCACCTTATTACAGGGGATGTTTTGGCAGAGAGAACAGGCACACGGAATTGTGTTATTTTGAAAAAGAAAAAAAGAAAAAGAAAACAAAAAAAAAACCAACAACAAACCCAAAATAACTCCCCAAACAAACCAGTCGCAGTGGTCTGGTTTAGAGACCTGGCCTGGACTGCACAAGAGGCAGTTTAAGGGAATGGGGAGAAGGGTGGGAATAACTCACCAGGGGACACAAAAGATTCTGCAACCACCTTTGCTTGTGTCAAAGAAATTGTACCAGAGGAGAAATTTCAGAAAATGAACTGTGCTGCAAAGATCTCCCCTTGCCCAGCTCAAAAGGATGAATTAAATAAATCTCAGTGTAAGGAAGCTGCTAAAATATTAAAAATCTCATCGTTGTAATCCACTGTTCCCAAGCTGTCTGCAAAGACTCACCAAATCCAAAAGGAAAAATCAGGACATTTTAGCTGTGAGTTTCAGCTGGTCACAGTGGATTAGAGGAAATCCTTCAGCCAGCAGGAGAAGCAATTGCCATGGAAAATCCTACATCCAGAGGGCTCCACTCGCAGGCACACAAACCCAAAATGAACACAAGCACCTCATTGAAAAAGTTCATTTTTGTAAACGTGGGAAAAAATAAAAGTAAAAAAAAAAAAAAAATCTACCCATAGATGAAGGGGTACAGGAAGTTACACAATCCAGTTTACACCTAAAGTAAGAGCAATCAGTCCAGAGAAGAACAGGGAAAAATTGCAATGCTGTCTGAAGTCACTGCAGGGCAGAGCATGGCAGGGGGAGAGGAGCTGGCTGCTTCTTTTTGGTGGGTGGATAAAACTGGCTGCCCCTTGCCTGCTCCCAGAGCAATGAGACAATTTCAACAACCATCAGGAATTCTTCTGAAATGCATCTGACTCTAACAATAACACTGAATATTCAACAATTCATATCATCACAGCGTAGAGTTTGGATATTTTGCCTCCAGGAAAAGGCAGTGGAGATCATCCAAGAGAAACACTGCACCCATCTTAGAATTTACAGCGCTGAGTTCAAGACCTTTGTTTTATGATTATTTTTATTTAATCCATCCTAAAAGACGTAGAATATGTGTCTCCTCAGCTCAGACATTCACAAGGCATGTGAATTACTGAATTACTGAGACTGTCACTACTCAAGGAATGTTGATGAGGCTCTACAAAATGCACTGGGGGGCATCTGGTCTCATTTTTGAGACCTCATGCCCACCACAACATGCAAGACACACCCTGGCAGGAGCTTTCCCCTCACAGCTCCGTGTTTTGGAGGCTCCAGAAGACAAGGCTGGAAGGAATGGACAGGGAAGCTCAGGAATCTTTTTAAGGGATCAAAGAAAACTCCCAGCAAGGGTCAGCCTGTGGGAATGCTGCCCTGGGTACCTGTGGGAGAACAGTGTCAGTCCAAGGCTCAGAAAAGATGCCCTGACTGAGTTAAAGGAAAAGGGAGGCACCTTAAATCCTGAAAAGTCAGAATTCCTGTGTTTGGCAGGTGTATTGAATACACACACACAAAGCAAGAGAGGAAGCTGTGCCCATCCACCCAGAGGGCTGCACCATTTTTCTGAGCACAGAGAATATAAAACCTCTTTTAGATAAAAAAAACAACACAACAATAATAAAGCAGAAGTGCAGAATCCAGACTTTTGGGTGCTCTATGTCTAGAAACAGAAGAAAGAAAAACTAATGCTGTAATGACTATTCCCTTTCAAAGCAAAGGCCACATAAAACTGTGTTGCTCAGTTTGGTTTTTACTTCATGCCACCTGTAAACACAAGACTGGATATTCATTTAGTGGGAAGAAATGAAACCACTTTTACATCTAGAGTAAAAGAAATGCCCTCCACTGCTGGGATCACCAAGGAAAAGGTAGCTGGGGAAGGCTTCCTGTTCTTTTTTCACTTTGTTAGAAAGGTTGTATCTGAACAACTGAGCTTTCAATAGAAGCACAAAACATTTCTTGATGTTATTTCTGCCCTCTGTCTCTTAGGTTTGCTGTGGGGACTAACACTTTCCACTCCTCACCAACAGATACATCACCTTTTTTGGCACCATGGGTGGAATTTCTTCCTCATGTGTTATTTTGCCCTATACAAAAATTGATTGTCTGATCATGCAAATCCAACAGAACTCCAAAAAGTGCCACAAGACAGTTCAGCTCTTTGCCATCTACTCCCTAGTTTGTACACTGCCATAGGAACCTCCCAGAGGACAGACTGCCATCCTTCCTTAGATCTGACACAGCATTTCAACATCTCTTTCTGGGGGGAGGGAATCAAAATCCACACTGATTCCACTGATTTTTCCCTCTCAGAGCTCTGAAATGCATGGAGATTTCTTTGATTTGTTGAAGACGCTTTCACTGAACAGCCTGATTAGAAAAAAAACCATACTGATTCAATCAAATAGAAAATAAAGACAAAAACAGGTAGTGGTAGATTTCTCAATCTTTGCTCCTGTCCTTGGAGTCGAGGGTAGTTTCACTGCTACTGCATTTTGCCCAGCTGGATTTTCTTCCAGGCCTCTGATGCTGTGAAAATGCAGGAGTCGAGGATCCCAGCTACAGTAAATGTTCCTCCAATGATGGCACATATCTGGAATTACAGAGAGAGGAATTTGTCAACAACGGGGGAAACTTTTACACAGCTTGAACTGGAGGAGGGATCCTGCTGCTGGGGTGTTTGCTGGAAGCACAGTAAGAACTGGGGATGGAATTCCACAAGGATCATTCACAAAAACCATTCCCAGCAGTGGAATAAATGAGTGCTGAACTCCTCACAGCCTGAGCCCACCACAAATCCCAGCTCCCACAGCACAAACACTGCCTGAACTCCACCTACCTCAGCTTTCTGGAAGCTCTGTGTTGCTCACATCTTCCTATCCTGTTTTCTGTCAAAAACACCACAGCCTTGTAGTCTTTTCCCCTTTTCACAGGACAATAATAAAAACAGGCCAAAGACTCTGGAATAGCACGTGAAGGGCAGTGAGTAACAGGGAAACCCAGTTACACCACAGCTCTGCCTAACACTTTCCATGACAAGGGCTGCTCACAGCAGCCAACTTAACTCTTTGTGGGACAGAGTTTTCCAAACAAGATGTGGATCTTGGGTCAAATTAAAACACATTATTACTTCCAAGAACAGAGTTAGGGAAAAAATTAATCTCCTGATTAGCATTAACAGCCTACTTCACTTCTCAAGTGCTACAAGACCACAGAAATATTCTGTGTATTCTGTCAAACCAGAGTCTTTGTGAAAACAGAATCACAGAACCACTTAGGCTGGAGAAGACCAACAACACAAAATATTTCCCTGCTACAATGGCTCAGTGGTTTGAGATTACTCTCTCCTAACTCATAACAAATCCCCTTTTTCCCAGGCAGGCCCTTGTCAGGAGATAAGCTCCATATCTTGTTCCCCTTCTCACAACCCCATGGTTATTCTCAGAACCATCTCATCCCACACAACGTAAAAAAAACAAATTAAAAGAGCATCACAGTTACGAAGTAAAAAATGTGGGAGTTGTGTAGTTAGATCTGTGTAATCAGAACATGGCTGGCAATGTTTTTACATCAGGTTATGGTGTGTCACACTGCCTGGTGGCACCCTGGGACTTTCTTCCCCTCCTGTGGTGCTTGACTTCTGCCTCCCCACCAGGTGGTTTCTATGAAGCCAGCCTTGAGCAGAACTCAGATATTTTTCTATCTAAAACAGTGTGGCAGCAGGAGCAGGGTGTGAGGTCACACCTGTGACCAGCTCTGGCCTCTCATGGTGAGAGATTTGGAGGGGCTGGAGGGAATGGAGCTGGGGAAGGGTCTGGAGCAGCTGAGGGAGCTGGGAAGGGGCTCAGCCTGGAGCAAAGGAGGCTCAGGGGGACCCTGTGGCTCTGCACAGCTCCTGACAGGAGGAGACAGCCAGGGGGACATCCAGGATGAGAGGGAACAGCCTCAGGCTGGGCCAGGGCAGGCTCAGGGTGGGCATCAGCAGGAATTTCCCCATGGAAAGGGAGCTCAGGCACTGGAACTGCCCAGGCAGGTTTGGATCCCATCCCTGGAGTGTCCCAGGAAGGGCTGGAGGTGGCACTGGGTGCTGTGGGCTGGGGACAAGGCGAGGATGGGGCACAGCTGGGACTCGATGGCTTTATAGATCTTTTCCAACCTAAATAATTCCATGATAAATGTTATAAAAATGCAACACAGCTGGCCCAGAAGGGAGCTGGTGCCACACTACACATTCCCTGTCACGTCTCTTCTCCCACACAGCACCCCATGGGCAAAGTCACAGGGAAAAAACCAACGTAAGAGCAGCAGCGCTGAGGGGAAGGAACAAACAGCTCATTAAGGGTGAGCAAAGGCTCTGAGAGCTACAGCTCCTTTCAATGTGCATTTATAACCAAGATACGAACATCCAGCGAGCTCAGTGAAACAAGGAGCTGCAGGAAATGTGGCTTTTGCAGGACACCCAGCATTCCTGCAGATCAAGGCTGCTAAAACCAGAACACCACTAAAAATCCTGGTAAAGTCAGAATCTTTAGGGGACAAGCCCAGCTTCTGCTCCTTTACCCCCTCCCTGCTGTCCCTCAGGGTGACTTCCCAAGGAAATGCCCTGGAGCTGGATTATTAAACCACGGAGCTGGGTAATTTCAGCTCAGCTGACAGGAGATGTCACTCCACAAACACAAACCCCGTCCAACACGCAGATTCTGCATCACAGGCAGGAAAATCTGACTTCAGTGCAGCAGCACAAGGGGCTGGGGAATAGAAAAAAATATATATAAATTAATCTGCAGAGCTCTGTAGTGCTGAGTGGGGATGAGTCAGACACACCTGGCACTGGCTCGGGGCCTCCTGCACACACAGCTTTGAGTCCTGGTGACGAAAAAAGGGCTTGGAGTGCTTGTGACCAGTGCTGGGCTCCAGCTCAGCACAGGAGCTGCACCAAATGTTCCTTCATCATCACACCTCTACTACCTAGGGGAGGCAGGCATCAGGCACTTTTCAGATTGAATGGAATGGATTATTGGCACGGATCTGCCAGGAGGTCTGCGGGACTCAGGCCCAGGCATGGAAGGATGAAGGGAAAGAGACACAGAAGTGGAATAATCCCAGCAGTGAGAGCCCTCTGGACATGAAGAATGCACCTTGAACAGAAGGAGATCACAGCAGGGTGGGATGCAGGCTCGTGCCTGAAGGAGAACACGAGTGGACACACAGGAGGAGGCAAGGCTGCAAGCAAGGTGATAGAAAGGCAAGTGTCAGACACATGACTGTGCTCCTCTGGGATGCCCTAAAGTCTGAAAATTACTTCTAAAGTCAGAGGGACCAGTAGTACCCTCAGGCAATTCCTAGTAAGGTAAGCTGGAGAATCCCACACAGAGATTTTCAGCACATTTTGTATTATTTGGCTTTAAAAATGGCACAGGACTGAATCTGTGACACCTGTCAGCACCAGCTCCCATGGCTGAAATTAATCTGCCTGCAACCACTCTGCTCCAGTTCCCACCTTCCACTATTTCCAGTTTAATTTATTTTTCACACCTGGAGTCCAGATGAATCTTCTCATACCAGGAAAAAATATTCCTTTGGATTTTGAATGCTTCAGCAAAACTTTGGCTGCTTTTCTGCCCACTCTCCTCTCCCAGCCCCTACACTGATCTGATAAAACCTTCTTTCAGTTTGGCCACTTACAGAACTCATGAATTTTCAGCAGTGAAACTTTTCCCCTTGCTCCATAACCTCAACCAGGAGGTCTTGAATGGCTTCTCTTTATGAGGGATGAGTTGATTTTAAGCAGTGCAGTTTGACAGGCAAAAAAACCCCTGTGTTTAACTCTGCCAGGTGTCTGTGGTTAACTCCAGATCCCTGGAAAACTCATGGAACAGTGACAGAGGCAGCAGCACTGACCCACAAGAAATATAAAATCTTATTTAGTATCAAACGTTTTTGAGCACGACATGGAAAGTAAAAAGAAAAACTTATTTTAAACCATAAGCCTTTGCACAGGAAGCACCTCTCCCATGGCACAGAAAATTAGGATAATTCTTCACACCACAAAGATCTAAGGAGCAGGCATGAGCCAGAATGGGGACAGAGAGGATGTGGGAATGCTGCTACAGGGCTGGAATGCTGCCCTGCACAGTGCTGAGGTTTTGGAGGGCAAAGCCATGAGTGACAAAGAGCAGCAGATAACCTTGCCAGCAGCAGGAGATGCCTGTGGCTCTCTGCTGGACACCCCTCTCCCATGGGATCACCCCTCTGCAGTGCGTCCTTCCCTCCACCACTGACCCCACAAAGCCTCTCTGAAGTCCCCAGGATCACCCCCCATGCCAGGAGTAATTTGAATTTACTGAAAACCACAGTGAAGGAGCCCCCATCCCAGAGAGGGATCCTGTCTTGTGGTTTTTAAGCTGAGCAGCTGCTGCTCAGACCAAGCTGATGCTTTCCATGGCCAGGCAGTGACTCCACACGCCCCAGCCCAATCCCTGCTGGCCCTCAGCCCAGTGCTGGCCATCACCAACTGGTCTCCAGAGCAACTGTGATGCAAAAGGCCAGGCTGGAGCTACAGGAAGGGGCTGAAGAACAGATCATGTCATCCAAACAGGGCAGGGCTGGAGGTGCTCAGATCCTCTGCAGGGCTGCTCCCCCTCCCAAGCTGTCCAGTGGCACCTGGGATGCAGAGCCAAGGCTGCTCTCCTGGGTGGCAGCCACATGCTTCTCTTTCTCAGGATTTTTTTCAGAGAGCAGCACAGAGGAAAGAAAGAGAAAACAATTTCTATTTCTGCTCCTTGTTTTCCCATGTGGAATGTGTTTGGAGAATGTTTACCTGGGGTGATTGCTTGGTTGGATTCTGGGGAGGATTGTTTCAGCCTGGTGGCCAATCCAACCCACCTGGGGCTGGGCTCTCAGAGAGGGTCACCAGTTGTTAGATATAGTAGTTAAAAAAATAAGTTTGTAGTTTTAGTATCTCCTTGAAATAGTATAATAATGTATTACAGTATAGTTATAATAAAGAAATCATTCAGCTTTCTGAATTGAGTCAGACACCATCACTTCTTCCCTCCAGGTTCACCTGCATTCACAACACTCCTGTACAGCCCAAAGGAGCCAGAGCAGCTCAGCAGGGCCAGGCTGAGGCAGGATCCAGCCCCTGGAACAAGGCTCTGCCTGCACCAGGACTGTCACACCTGTGTGACCCCCTGACACAGCCACCATCATCATCCTCATCCCCCAGAGTGAGGACACTCAGCTGGAACAGCCCCAGGGAGCTGCCTGGCACCACAGCCATTCACAGCAAACAAAGCAGACCAAAATCAACTGCAAAACTCTCCTAAGGCAGCCAGAAAGTGTCTGGCTACCTTTAAAGACAGAGCAGGGCAAAATTCATCCTGGGGCCAGTGCTTCAACACTCAGACTGATCCCAGCGAGGAATATGGTGTGTGGAGAGGACTGTTATTTTGGGGGAAGAGGAGAAACTGAAATTCTTATTGAATGAAAATTAATCAACCTTTAAATCTTTACAGAAGCAGAACTGGAACCGCTTTTCTGGATTCTATTTTTGGTTCCATGCTTGGATTCTCAGTAGGAAACACACATTTCAGTTTTTTAGATTATGGGATACAAATTCAAATGATACAAACCCAAAATGTCACTGTGGCAACCAGGGAAGAAATTCTCTCCTGTGGTCCCTTATGTCAACTCAGAAGCAGAATACCATTCAAAAAAGATGCTTTTTATAGGCACATAATGGCAGATCTGCAGTGAGTCAATGCTGATAATAAAATTAAAGAATAATCCCAGCTATCAAATCATTTCCCATGAAGACACCTCCACACCCTCATCCCCAACAAGATGTGTAAGAAACTTCTGGGAGCATAATTTTAGGGGAAGAAGCAGAGGCAGAATGACATGCCAAGTCATGAAATGCTGATGTTTGACCTTTTATAGGATTATGTTCTGAAGCCAAGTGGATGTGCTAAAAAGAGAAAGTCTTTCACCACGACATTTAGATTTTACTTCAAACCCCATTATCTGGTTATTTCTGTAATCTATTCACTGTCTAAAGTTCAGTGAAAGGAGCTTGTTGTTTATCAGAAGTTGCAAAATCAAAATCTTGAAGTGCAACTCCACCACACTGTTTACGTGAATTCCAATTAAAACAGTCAAACAATTTAAAAATCAGAATTTGAGGTCCTCAGCCAATTTATCAACTGCTTCACTTTACACCATGCCTCACTGGCACAGCTCACTGCAGCTTCAATTTTAAGCCAACTCCCTGAAGACACATTTTTTTTAAAGTTCTGGAGGATCTTTAAATAGCTCTTTGCCTAATGAACAGTTTGGCCAGCACAGCTTTGTTCTGATGCTGAGATCAGGACTGCAGGATGCTCTCTGGACAGATCCAAATGCAACTCGTCAGGAAAACACCTCTGGAATTTGATAATGCAGCTCTTCTCCACTTCTACCCAGCAGTAAATGCCTGGAACTGGCACTCCTTATTAAGCCAAGCAGCGGCACTGAGTAAAACTCAGTGTAAAAAACCCAAAAAACTTCAGTGTCTTGTAGGGGAGAAGTGGATGCTGATAAAATCTCCACTGCCAGTTTTCTTCCTATTCACTGTAAAAATCACCCAAATACCAGCAGATAGCAAGGACAAGGCAGCTCTGTGTTATCTAACAGTTCTGCTTCCCTCACCTGAACAAAGGAAAACCCTCTGGAGAGACCAGGATGACTTTGGGGTGGAAAAGGGTGGGCAGCCCTGGCACAGGTGCCCAGAGCAGCTGTGGCTGCCCCTGGATCCCTGGCAGTGCCCAAGGCCGGGCTGGACAGGGCTTGGAGCAGCCTGGGACAGTGGGAGGTGTCCCTGCCATGGCAGGGGGTGGAACAGGATGAGGTTTAATTTTTTTTCCAATCCAAACCATTCTAGATTCTCTGCACATCATCACCGAGCAGTTTATTGCAGTTTTCCTGCTCACCACATCAGCTTTACTTCCAAGCTTCTGACATGCTGCAGTAGTGCCCATCCTGCCTAGGCAGAGCCTGGCACTTCTAGAATGGGTTAATTTCCCTTCTTTTTGTGCCCAACTATTAAATCAAGTTGTCAGAGCACTGGACTCACCTCCCACTTCAGCACCACCCCAGTGATGTGCTGCTTTAGCTCCACCACGCCCTGGGGCAGAAATTCAACTCATCTGGGCAAGAAAGTCTCAGGAGGGACATGAGAGGCAGGCAGAGGAAGGGAAAGGAGAGTTTAGGGCAACTCACCGATGTGATAAACCTGTACAAAGGCTGTCTCCTCTCTGTGTATTTCACTGTGATGGGGCTCAGGTCGTAGCGGAACCAGATGGCCGGGATGATGCGGCCAGTGTGGCTGTAGGCTACATATTCCTGGGGGAAAAAAGGGGGAAAATGGCACAAAATGTGAGAAATCTCATTCCACAGTGTCTGCCATAAAACTGCCTCTGTGGTTTGGCCTTCACCCCACTGTTTTGTAGCAGTGACCAGACAGAAAGAAGCAAACAGTGAATTCCTGTGTGACTGCTCAGCTCCCATCCTTATCAAAGAGGAAAACAATCTCTTCACAGCCTGATAATGGAAAAGCTGGGGACAGAGTGATGGTGATTACTCTCACCTTCATTCAGAGTTCCAGGACTCAACAAACAGGCTGTTATTGATTCTCCATCCTAGATCTGCTCTGTTTAAATACAAACAGCCTGGTTGCAGGTGAAGTTTTAGTTCTGTAAATCACATGTATGTCTATATTTTGTATATAAATCATTCACCAAACAAACAGAATTTAGCTTGTAAGAACCTGAAAAACCCTCCTTGTCCTTGCATTCCTTCATCAGGCCCCCTCCCCACTGGCAATGGGAATGCTTTGCCCTCTTATGAATCATCTGCAACCATGTTCAAACCATGTTTAAAACTGCTGCTGAAAGCCAGGGTGAAACTGTATACATAAAAATATTGGCAAATATATACAAAAAAATATCCCAGGCTGGTTTGGGAGAGACACCTTCCATATTTCCAGTGCCACTCTCCTTTAATCCATTTGTTTCCTAACTGGTCCAGTGCCAGCCACAGCCACAGGACAGCACCCAGCAGGACACACTGCCCACCACCAACACCAGCTTGGTAAATAAGCCACATCTTCCCGAGATAATATTTTGTCTGTGCTGTCAGTGGAGACAGGTATCAGTTTCCAGACATTCACAAGGTGAAGGCAAATCCCAGGAAAGCAGGCTGGGTCCCAGCAGTCCAAGGAGAGCCCAGCGTGGCACAGCTGCCTCTCCACCCAGCTGCTCTGCCTCCCTCAGCCCTGTGACCAGCTGCCAGCTCACATCTCCTCTCCTGGCTCAATTCTCCTTCACAAAGAGGCAAAGACAGCCTCAAATACTTCAGGAAGATGAAAAAAAGAGCAAGCAACAGGATGCTCATGAGCACGACACAATAAAATTTACTTCTGCTCTCTGTGTGCTGGTGAAACAGCGTTTATCTTCAATCATCTCATATAAATCCCAAATTTCCCTATTTTTAGGTGGTTCATCCCATGATGACAAGAGAAGCGGAAGTCCCCAGTCATGTAATTTTCAGGTTTTTATTGGAGTTCTGCAGCTCACTTTGGGACAGAGATTATGCAGGAAGTGAGAAAACAGGAGCTAAGAGAGGAGACAGAGTTTACACCCATCAGACTCTCCTCATCCCAACCACTCTGTTCCAGAAGCTCCCACTTCCCTTTCCCACTGCTCAGTGTGGAGTAAAGGACTGAAGCACCACGAGAAGAAAGCACAGAGGCAGCAGTGCTTCTCAGCACCTCGGTTCTGACAGAACTGACCTCATTTTTTCCTTCCTCTCCCCTTCTCCCCACCAGCAATCCTGCCCTAATGAGTCAGACTTGGCTGAATGCCCCAATTTGCAGCCAAGTTCACAGAAGTGTCAAAAGCTCCTGCAATTTTCCAAATTACTTTCAGAACTCCTGTCACAGGAGTCTTATCAGAACAGCAGTTGTGACATTAAGCAGAACAAATACATTGTAATCTGAACAGAGGGAGATGTCCAAATCCCTGGCACACACCATACAAGCAAGCCCAAAAGTCACAAGTCAGGAACATTAATCTGAGAATTAGTCCAGGAAAGTGTGTGCTTAATTATCAGTTAGGGCAAACTAGAAGTAATTAGATATTACAAACATATTTTGGACTATCATTCAGCACTCGAATGGGAAATAATTTTCAACTGGAAGATACTTTCTACCGTAAAAAGTAAATAGGGTCTTTTTTTGTTTTTTTCCCTTAAAAAAATTCAATACACTGAATTATTAAAATGCTGGATGTGGCACTCAGTGCTCTGGGCTGGGTGACAAAGTGGGAATTGGTCACTGGTAGGATTTGGTGATCTTGGATCTTTTCTAATCTAATGGATTCTGTGATAATTCACTATCAGAATGCAGGGTGTGTGAAATACTCCACCAGCAGATATTTGCTGCCACAGTTCAGCGGCTTAATGTCTGAAATAAACATTTGTAAAAAGCTACAAACTCTGCTGATTGTCTCATCCATCCATCACAAGTGAGACTGTTTTGTTACTAAAACCAGGTGTAAGTGATGTTTAGTGTGCTCAGCTGCATTCCAGCTCCCATTCAGATGCGCCTTGCCAGGCACAAGAGGAGTTCCTGCAGCCTGTAAACACCTCCCACACGATTTACAGCAACCCACACCAGCTAACCTGACAGGTGAGGATGCCAGGAGGGAAGAATGAACGAAAAGCAACGAAGAAAGCTGCTTTGACAAGCCCTAACAACCCCAAGCTTGGCAAATACCAGGAGGAGGAGAAGCCCAACTCTGAGGAGCTTCAGTTCCTCTTTCTCCCAGCAGAGGCTACTGCTCACCTACAAACCCAGAGAGGAGCAGGAGGGAAGGAAGGGTGGCTGAGCATCCCCTGGGATGCAGAGGAGCCTCCTGGATGGAGAAGCAGCTGCTCCTTTACCTTGTTTGCCACCGTGTACTGGTAGGAGTACCGCTGCTTGCCGCTCATGTCCTCGTACACCGTGGGCACAATCTTCAGGATGTAGTCGTGAGAGGCAAGGGCTGTGCTCAGGGAAGGGAAGGACATGTTAGCACTGAGAGAAAGGAGGCAGCCCACGGAACAAGTCACAAAAAAGGGTGTCTCCCTCCTCCTTATCTCAGGGACAAAGCTCCACGTCCCACGCTGGTGGCCTTTGCTCAGAACTCTCTGGCAGGTGTTTGGGTGACACCAGAAGCCGCCCACTGCTTCTGCAGGAGCACAGCCCACCCGAGGTTTGGGTTACTCCAACCTTCCCAACTGCTTGCAACTATAAATGGCAACACTTTTATCACCACCACAAACAGCCTGGTTAAATCAGGAACTGGCTGAGGTTAGGGCTGCTGCCCACTGAGATCATTTTGACTAAAAAACCTGAGGTATCACAACCTGTGTACTTCCATTTCTTTCTTGCTTTCTCATCCTCCTTCTCCCACAGCTGCTTAACTCCTTTTTTTTTATTATTTTTTCATTCTTTAAATGGCTCTTTCTGGTTTTTGTGTCTGCTAAAACAGTTCTAAAACAGAATTCTAAATGACATCTCTGAAGGATCCTCTAGCCAAGTGTAACACGATGACATTTGCTTCCTGGAGGTAAAAAAAAAACCCCAAACCACAATTGTACAGCTTCAGGAACAGACATAGAAATCTTGTTCCAAGAAATGGACAGGACTGATGTCCTGGAGGAGCCTGAACATTTAAGAGACAACTCTCTACACTGAATTGTAGCATGCATTGAATTTTCTTTCTTGTGCTGGGCCATGAAAATGTCCCTCTTGCCATCCACAGAGTAGAAATTTCAAGGTAATTTGCCACATAATATACAAGGAAAAGTTCTAGTGGAACTAACAGCAGCAAAGGGACGCTGCAGGAACAAGATATGGATAAAAAAACTCCATAAGGACTGCAAAGGACCTTTTGGGCTAAAGCCTTTTCTGTAGCATCAGAGGAAATGGAAATGTCAGCCAGCAATGTCTGGATCATTTTGGCTGAAGAGGCAAATGAAAGACTTGTGGATAGAGCAGTGCTGCATGAATGGCCCTGCAGAGGGTGGCTGAGAGCTGCAATCCCCAGGAATACCCACGGTTTGAGCTGAGCTTGTCTGCTCCCTCCAAGGCATTGAATGCTCCGTGAACGTTGTGGACCTGGAAAACAAAAAGGAGGATGAAGAAACTCTGCTCTGGCTTGATACTCTTGACCTTTGCTTCCCTGCCCTGTAACCAGGGGATCAGCCTGATTCAACCTTTCCAAAAAAACAAAGCCTCAACCCAGTAAAAGATGACCCCAAATATCTTTCAGTGACCATCATCACAGCGGTTGGCTCCGAGTGAAAAAGCTGATTTCACAACATCTTACAAGATGAAACTCCAAAACCACTCCAAAGCTAAAGGAATTGCACTTGGAAGAGGCCAGTTGTGAAATTTTCACCGTGAGGTATTTCATAAGAGCTTTGCAGAGTTAACTGTGAAATTAATTTTATCAGGGAAAGGGAAACAGATGGGAGTCACACTGGGGTTAAAACTCAGGAGTTTTCTCCTCTAAAGGTGGCTGATGTCAGAGCAGCTGGGTCTGTACAGCCTTGGAGATGGGAAGGACATATCCCAACACTGACATCCCTTCAGCTTTTCCTGCAGCTGATTTCAGCCCTGTGAGTGTCTGTTTGCCCAGAACAACAGAATTTCCATGCCCTGCACACACTGTGACCCTGCAGTCTGATCTCCAGCAACAGAATAATCCATGTGTGAACCCTCCAGACAGGGAAAAGCCCATGGCAGCAGCTGTAGGTCAGACCTTGTGCTGCTCACAAGGTACAAAGAAAGGACAAAGAACTCCACAACCCAGAAATTCATGACCTTAAGTCAGCCAACAGGGAAGAAGAGCCTGGAAGGAGGATTTGGTCATGGGTGTGCCAGTTTCACCTCACCAACAGGGCAATGCCATCTCCTTCCCAGACCCTCTCAACAACTGGCAGCACGTGGATGTGCCTGTCCCATCCTAATGGACAATTCCCTGTTCCCAACACTGTGCTCTGCTGGAATTTCACACAACCACGACCATTCCCAAACTACATCTGCAGGCTGTGCTCACTCTTTACTCACTGTAAAAGGCATAATAAGAAAAAGAAGCCCCTGGAGTGGGCTCCAGTGCTGTGTTCCATTCTTGATACAGCTAAGAAGACTCTTACAGAATATCTGGGCCAGAGACTTCAAGGTCCACTTCAAAGGTACATTTTCCCCTCATCAAGACCAAAATTGAAACCAATGAGCTGCTACCTCCAGCCATCAGATAACCCAGTGAAGAGAGAGATGTGGAAATAGGAGATATTGCATTTTTAATCATAATTTCTACTGAGTTCTACATTATGGTGTTGAATAATCCTGGCTTTAACCTTGTCAGGAGAGTCATCTGCCCCTGATAGTGAAAAGGCATCACCTCCTGCTCTCCTCATCCCTCTCCTTACTGGCTTACCTGACATGCAGGAACTCACTGCATGAGTTTTAATTCTGCAGGTTTTCATTCTGATCTCATCTCAATGAGGATGAAAAATCTATGTGAAGTCTGCCACTGTTGTGCACAAAGTACTGATGAAGACTCAAAGCTCATTCAGTGCCAGATGATATTTAAATCTCTGCTTCAAAGAGACTGTTTTTTCTGGAGAACACAGCCTGTCCCTCAGTGGATCACAGTGGCAGAGTCAGTACATGACACAAGTGAATGAGAAGCTCCTCACTCTCTGTAAGGAATAGAAGCTTTTATTACATCAAAGCAGGTGGAGACAACCTGAAATATTCAAAGGTGCACCTAGACAGATTTAAAGCTCCCCACACTTGCTGGGTCCCACTGCTTGCTGAGTCGTGGCAGCACCTGTTTGGTGAACATATCCTTCTTTAATTTGTGCTGCTGAACTGCTGCTTGCCTGCAGCTCCCTCCCTGAGCCCTCAGACCACGAGCAGTTACCCTGAACTCTGAAAATACTCATCTGAACTTGTCCCAGCCAGGAGCCAACTCCACATTTGCTAGACAGGTTTCTCACCACAAGAGCTGAAGACACTTGCTGCTTGTCTCTCCAGGCTCCTCCTTCATGCTGATTCACACTCCAGCTGCCTTACTCCAGCACTCCAGGATAAAACAATGGGAATGCTTCCTCAGAGCACCCATTTCCCACGCAGGCTGCACAACTCCCTGTCACCACTCACCTCCTATTTTTCATAATCTCGGTGTGCTTTACAGACATTAAGCCAAGCTTATTTATACGCTAATATTTCCTCGTTCCCACACAAGATAATTCCTAAAAGAAGCCGGGAGCAGAATCAGAAGACTACAAAGCAACGCTTAGACTTGTTAGCATGAAAAAGGGTTTTGGAAGTGGGTGTACAGGAGCAGACTAATGAGACGTCTGTGCTGAGGAAAGAAGATTACAGAGAGACTACAGGTAAGCAATGTTTAGGGTGAGTCTCAAGCTGGGTGTGCACATGTGGAACTCCCACCTGTGAGGCCAGCTCCTTGGAAGTAGGCTAGAGAAGTGCTGTAATCTGTCCTCATTGAGAAATCAGGTAATATTACATAATTTGCAGCACCTGGTGAAACTCTATCCACTGGGCAAGTGCATGTATTCAGCTTCTTCCCAGCAGGGAATTGGCAGTGCTGAGTCTAACTTGTGTTTCACAGAGCAAATTTGACTAATAGGTGTCTGCTCTACAAGTAGAGTGAAGTGAATTAAAAAGAGCTTGACTGCTGCTGTGGTGAACACAGTAGCCAGCACACATCTTCCCTGAGTGCATCACTGCAGAAAGGTTTGTTTGCTGTGTTCATGCTAAAACCAGGACTTTGCTGAGCCACAAACCCCAAAGAGACAGCCACAGAGTTTTTCAAAAGCACTTTGAGTTTCAGAAGAACACAGCACAGCTGCTCTGTGACGGGACACTGCTCCTGCCCCAGCTGGTGGCAACTCTCCCAGACTTGAGCTTACGTTGCAGGGACACACAGGCCTTCCATAAAACCAAAGTGTGTAATATTAAACCACTCTCACTGCATTCCCCTACAGCCAGGGAATGTTCAGGACTCACCTGCAGCTTGTCCCCAAATGAGAGCTTGTGGATGACGTGAGTCATGTCGGGGTTCTGGGGCTGCGCCGTCGCGCTGTGCGTCGACACGTGGAAGTTACCAGGGACCTAAAATTAGCCAAGACAGGGAAGACAGGATTGCACATTTTATCCCTCAAGGCATTGCTGGGCTCTGTGATGTGACATGGGAATGCCTGGATCTATCCAGGAAGATGGAAGAATGAGTGATACCTTCCTGCAGCTGACCAACACCACCACACTCAAGTGCTGCAGCCCCAGAGTCCGGCACCCCCACACTGCTGATGTTCCTGACCAGGAGAGGATGAGTGGGTCACTCCCATCTCCAGGGATTCCCAGCACTTAAGGCTATGCCTTTCATCCCTATTAAAATAAAATTCCTGTCTCTCTTGCTCAATATCTTACTCCCACATCTGGCATTTGCAAACGGGCCCACTGCTACAGAATAGCCCAGGAAGCTGGGGATGTGTTTTTCTTCTGGTACCAGTCATGAGCAACTTTATCTCTGAGATTGTGTGCAAGAATGAGTTTTATATGAAGAGAAAATCCACCACCAAACCCACGTGGGCATCCCATACAAACTAACCTACATCTTCCCCTTCTCCACCTTGCAGGCGCCAGCAGGACCCTTCCTTTTCATTTTTTTAATGGAGGGAAATACAAAGAACTGAAAAACACAAGTTGCACCTAAAGGCTCAGTTCCAAGACAGAAAATGAGCCCTGGTGTCTCTCTGATGGCACCACTCTGCATGCATGCACTTTTCAGGTCACTAGCCCTGAAATCCTTCAGCAGATCCAGCTCAATCACTGTCATGGAGGGTGCAAGAATATTTTCCTATTGAGCAAAGGTTGTGAAATGAAGCAATCCTGAGGAGCAATCTGGCTCAAGGCAGGAGTGGGAGGGTGGTTATACAACTGCAGCCCAGCGTGCTCTCTGCAGAGACACCTCACCAGCAGGGCCATGGGAGGCCACATGCCCTTCCATGTGCTTTCAGGAAAGCTGATTTAATGACCTGAGGAGCAGCAGTGCACTCCTGGGAACACTTTCAGGTGTGGACACCAGCTGTGTCACAAGCAAGCTGAGCAAACAGGGCGTCAGGCCCTGCAGCAAGCAGCACACACCATCATCATCTCACTGTCACCCTGTCCTCCCTCAGCTGCTGTGACAGCAACACCCCAGTGCAAGCCTTGGTCGAGTTTCCAAGGCTGGCCAGGTCCCACTGCAGCTCCCAGCTCAGCAATTCCTGCCAAGGGACTTCAGACTTCCAGGTCACACACACGAGGTTGGGGATTCCAGAGCCAGAAGTCCTGGGTCAGCTCCCCTGCCTGTGACAGCTGTGCCAGCCCCTGAATGAGACACAAATCAGCAGTGCAGGAAGCTCCTCACTGCCACATTCTGCACCTCCTTCTAGAGCTGCTTTGTGAGCAGGACACACCACATCCAGCAGACAAACCCCCAGGTATCTCAGCTCTGTTCTCTGGGAATTGTCTGGACAAGAACTTTCCAGAAGCCCTTTCCCAGTTTTTGTGGACTATCAGCTGCCAGCGATCCCGGTGGCTCAGAGATGAGGAAAAAGTCCTCTTTTTAAATCCCTAATCCTTTCCATGCCACAGAATCAGCAAGAGGTCCTGTCTGTTATTTTTAGATGTGCTTTAACACGACCTGGGAGGAAAAGAAGGAAGTAGGATTCTGTAGCCTGTGGTACACCAAGAGGAGTGAATAAAGGGTGTGCCCTTCTTAGGACATCAGCGGGTCCCACCAGTGCCTCCCCCACCCCAGCAAGTCATCTCCAGCATTACATAGCAAGATTATTCAATCTTGAACACACCCATCCCAAAGAGGAGCCTCCTCCAGGCCTGGATTTTCATTCCTTGAGACAGAAGCAGAGCATCCCCACCAAGCATGCGTGGGGCCACGTGCTGTGTTCCAACCATCCCAGCACGGAGCCTGGCACCCTGCAGCAGGGAACATTCCTGTCATTCTGCAGCTCTCAGAGCAAAGCAGAGCTGGGATGCAGCCACTGCCAGAGACCTCTGCACACTGAGTCAGGTTTTGGAGGTGCACAAGTCGTGAGGAGTAAACACAGAAGCCCTCTGGCATCTGTAGGGTTTTCACACATCCCCTGAACACTGGGCTGCTGCACAGAGCTGCTCTCTGTGTTCAGCAATTCTGTCTCCATTACCTGCTTTGGAGAATGGAGAAAACCCCTAACACATTCCCTGTGGGTCTGGCCATGCAGCCTCCCCTCCTCACACTGACTTGAATTTCTGTCTGATCAGAGTCATAAACACACACACAGCAGGAGAGACACGGATTTCCAAATTTTCATTTTTACAAATGGATCCTGCCTGTGTTTCTCCAGCCAGCACACCCTCACCCACTGTCACTGCCACTCACCTTGTTGATGCTGAAATGGCCCTCAAACCTGCAGCCATCCCCATTATTGAGAGGGATCTTCATTGAGTTGTCAATGTGACCCACTTCGTGCCTTCCCATTTCATCCTGGATGTCCAGTCCAACCACTGCAGGGGTGGGAGGGAGAAGACAATTAAAAAAATAAAAAAAATCAAACAAAATAAGTATCAGGAAGGTTGCATAGGAAAAGGATGTATTGCCTTTACTTGAAAAAAAAAAATCCACACCTTTTTTCCTGACATTTGACTAAACTGAGGTGATAATGTCCTTTGTCAAAAATTGTTATACCCCAAAAGCTTTGTAACCAAACTTTTCACGCTGCCTATTTGATACAAATACACCTCCCATGTCCTGCCAGCTGCCTGCAATCCCAATCACACAAACAGAAAAACTTCAGGCAGACAAGGCAGGTGACTTGGGAAGAGCCAACAACCAGCTGGTGCATTCAGATGGAACTTGGGAGGTTTCTTGCTCCCAGACACAAAAAGGTTGCTATTAAAAAAGAAAAAAAAAAAAAAAAAATATGTTTGCATCCAAACTCGCTTTCCTACTATCAAATGTCAAATTTTTGACAGTAGTGATTTGTCAGAATATGAAAGAATCATGGAAAAGTTTTTAAAAAAAAAAAAAAAAAAAAAAAAAAAAAAGGAAATGAGATTCAGAAAAGAGCCAGTGAAGCTGATCAGCCACTAACACATGGTCCAAGAAAACAGGTGCCCTGGCCTGGAACAGAAAGCAATGGGATATTGGCAGAGGCTGCAGCTACTTATTTCCATCCTGTTACAGAAGAAGGGCCACTGTACAGTCTGGGCCCGTTTCAAGTATTACTCAAAGCACAATGAAAAGCTGCTAAGTGAAGGGGTACTCACATTCACAGTGCAGGTTTGGCAAACTGATGTTCAGGTTCACTTCTATTTTCCCTCCACTGTCTTTGTCTGGGTCATCCACGTAGAGCTCATTAACTCTGCAGGGCAAAAACACAGGTGGGTTCAGGCACAGGGCTGCTTCCCACAGAAAAAAACCCAAAAACTTGCATGGGGATGGGGAAAAAGACTGCAAAGAGGAGGTTTGATTGTGTGATGGCTACAACAGAGTTACAGAGAGAAGGGAAAGCTCTCCAGGATGGAATGGAGGCAAATCACAGCTTAATTTGATTTTTTGCTTGGCAATACAGGAGGCTTTAAACAAGTTCTGCACCAGTAAAAACCAAAACTTCTGTTCTGTGCTCCCTGTACCCTTCTCCATGCTGGGCTTTCAGAGGAGCTACAAAACAAGAGGCTAATGCTGAAAGATGGCAGGTTATTGATCCAACCCTCCCCTCCCCTGGGCTGCTATTCCTTTTAGGCAGGAGGGAATCATGTGTTTTTCCATTTGTTCCATAAATAGTTCTAGAGAAAGGCTGCTCTCAACTACCCCCAGGAAAGCTTATTTGTGTCACTAATTGCCTTTTGTTATTGCCACCCAGCTGACAGAGCAGCAGCAAGAGAAGGAAGGCAACACGGCATATTTGTATTCCTCTCCTTAATATCACATTCCAGGCTATGAATGGCAACCAAAAGTGGTGACTAAAATTGAGGAGAAGGGGATTTGAGCCAGGAACAGATGGGAAGAAACATCCTGGACAGCAGGATCTCACACACTCTACAGCAGCCTCTCAAAGAGTAATGTTGTCTCAGAGCACCCACAGTGCTGGCACTCATCTCACAGGAGACAAAACACAGATAGAGAGGCAGAGCAAGGCAGGAGTAGAAATATTTATTGTTGGCACATACAATCCAATCGACACGTAAAAATAAACCAAAACAACCCCAGTGCTGAATTTGCTGAATGGTCCTGGAGAATCCACCCTGGGGAGACTCACCCCATTGATCTGAGACAATGGTGAGATTACCTAGAAGCTCTTTTCCCTGTTCAACAAATAAGATTTCATGATTTATCTTCCAGCTGGGCAGATTATAAAGCTATGGGAGCTTAGATTCAGGCAAATTACATAAAATAAAACCAGCAAGTGCTCTGTAGCATTTTTATTTTACATTCAAAGTGCACTAAACTCTTTGACAAGCCCCACTGGAGAGTCCACATGCTAAGAGTCAAAGCTAAGGCAGCTACAAGACAGACTCAAAGTGATTTTGCTCTGGTGATACATCTCTGGGCCACGGTGAACTGTTTGCCCTGTGGATGCAGAAGAAACAAACCTTGACACTGAGAAACACACCTGCTGCCAGGTTTTTTGGAGGCAATTACTCACAGGTCAGTGGGGTTTACAGACACTCATTTAAAACCAGCACAGCATTTGTCTTCGGCTTCACAGCCCTACCTTTCTCTGTTTTTAATTGGCTTGACAAGTTGCTTGCAATCATTACTCAACCTATTTTTCAAGTGATTAATAAAAATGACACAGAGGGAGGGGAAAGATTGCTCATCAGTGACCTAGTTAGCAGCTTTTTGGCCGAGCCCTCTCCTCCTGGGTGGAATGCATTCTCTCCTCTACGTGTTCATTACTGACAGATTGGGCAGATTGGATTAAGTCATATATCCAAATAGGGCTGGGAGGAGCAGCTCCAGCCAGGACGGGCATTAATCCCCCAGAGCAAGGCAGCTCTCAGTGCTGCCCCAGTGCTCCCATCCATTCCCCAGCTCCAGCCAGCCCCTCTCAGAACCCCTGGCTCCTTCCCAGCGCCGTGCTGGCCGAGATGCCCAGGGATGCCCAACCAGTGCCACCTCAGGGGCACCTCGGCGCTCCTGGCTAAAGGAGCGTTCACAGCAGGGCTGGCAGAGCACAGTCACGCCCAGCAGCTCAGCTCAGCATCCCAGCTCTCTGGAGAAAAGCCCTAGCACGGTCCGTGCTTGTATTTGCTGATTTCTAACCCTGAACCTGTCAGGAACCTTTTGGTGATGAGCGAGCGAGACAGAAATTTCTGATTTCTCTGGCCAAAATCGGAGGATGAACTGTTCACAGGGAGACGTGGGAGCTCTGACAGAGGAAGGCAAGTGCTGAGGTCACCTGGCTGCTGGCTGGATCACTGAGGCACAGAGAAGTAGGGCAGCTTGTGCAGGTCACACAGCCCATTAGCTGCAGGTGAAGGAAACTGGTTTCCTGTCCTGCAGTCCGGTCACTGGACCAGTGGCTCCCAGCCTGTCCCCTGGGCAAGGCTCACAGCCACTTCCTCCTCCTCCTCCTCACCCAGTAGCCCCCTGCCCCTCTCCAACTCATGCTCCACATTTCACAACCCAATTATCACTGCACAGACATCAGGCAGCTCGTGATCCTTCCTCCCAGTGGATCCTTCCTTTCCTTCCCCTCATTTCCACCAGAAGCGTCACCTTCCATGGAGCACCCATCCAGCTGGATCCTGCTTCTCCCTCCCAGCTCCAGCCACTGCCTGCTCATGGCAAGATCATCTCTGAACAACTGACAAATCCAGCCCCAAAGTGCATCCTTTGTGTGTCACTGATGTTCCCTTTCACTATGGGGAACCAAGGCTACGATGACAACACGCCACGGGCTGCACTTGGTGGGGCAAACCTCACAAGAAATGTCATTTTTAATAAACTGGCCACTCCTCAAATATTTGGAGTATTGGAATTCTGGAAATCTCACAGGTAATGCAAATTTCCATGGTCAAGGCTATTCCTTCCAGTGAACCACTGGCACCCAGGTTTGGGTGGCAAAGGGCTGGCACTCACATGTCCCTTGCCATCCTCCTCCCCAGGGCCACAAAGCCAAATTGCACTCACCCTTGCTGTCATTAAATCAGACTCTCCTGGGATGTCAGGAAAAGTACTATTTACCCCTTCTAGCCACTCTCCCTGAAGGAGGAAAGTCTCTGGTGGAAGAAGAGAAGTTGACTCTAATTTAGAGGTGTCTGTCCTGGAATACGAAGTGTCCCAGGAGTAACAGTGCCTTACCAGTAAATCTGGGATGGTCACAAGGGAAATAAAAGACAAGGCCAGGCAGAGGAAGGCAGTGATATTGGTCATATTGTGACTCCAAAGGCAGGGTGTACCTTCTCCAAACACGTAGGAGTTGGTGTTTTCCTGGCTGCTAGTAAGGAATATTTGAATAAAAGCAGCACAATGAAGGAGGGTGAGGGTGCAGAGCCCTGAAAGTATAATGAGTACACACACCAGGTGAGAGCTGGACCTCCCACCCCTACAGAGCCTCCCACCACTGACCGGAGGAACAGGAGGGAAGTTTCTCCATGATCCACACATCAGGAATCTGCTTCACTTCTCGAAAGAGCCACTTGGAAATACTTCACATTCCTGAGTGATGCTGCTGGGCTGCTTACCCTGTCTGCTTACAAACTTCCAGCAAAAACAGGAGGGACCCTTAGGCCAGACCACAGCAATGGCACGAGAGAGCCAAGGACAGGGGCCACAGCAGCCAGAGGGCACGCCATGGCTCCAGGGTTTTATCCAAAGAAAGGCAGACCTGTTCCCTGTGCTTTAGCTCTCAGATTTATGGCACAACAGCTCTGTTTCCCCAGAAACAAAACTTCCACAGTAACTTCTTTCTACCCAGCGGCTCTGGCCATTAACTTCAGCATTTCAACAGCCAAAAAGCCTGCAGCGCTTTGGACCAGAGGGTGGGCACTGCATCCACCTTCCACAGCTTCACACACTGCGTGGGTGCCCTCTAAACACATCTGCCTTGTCCTCTATCCTCCTTGTCCCGAGTCCCTGATTCAGGTGTTAGCCTTTTTTCTCCCCCTTTCACAGCAAGCAATCAGCCAGAGTCCTCCTCAGCCATCAGCCACAGAGAAAATACAGCCACTTACTCCAGAAAGCTGCACTTTACCTTGTCCTACAAATCCCAGGAGGCACCCTCTCATCTCCAGGACCCTGTGCCTAAGAGGGAAAATAATTATTCTTTCTTGAGGAAGCCTAAAGCTTCTCAAAAGACTTTCTCAGATGAGCCCTATTGGCTCCACTTGCCCTTTCAGCTCTAATCAGCCAGCTTCCAGAAACACAACCCTCCAATGCTGACATTCCTGCATCACCATATTTTCATGGTGCCAGAGCAGAGAAACACAACCCTCCAATGCTGAGATTCCTTCATCACCACATTTTCAGTGGTGCCAGAGCAGAGAAACACAACCCTCCAATGCTGAGATTCCTGCATCACCACATTTTCAGTGGTGCCAGAGCAGAGAGACAAATCTTCTTTTCAACTTGTGCGAAGAAACAACAACAAGCAGGTCAGCAAACTCTCTACTGCGTCATGTGTCTGCTGCCGTGACATTTGTCATCTTCTGCATCCCAATCAGCTCCTGAGTGTGAAGATGCTTGTCCCAGATCAGCTGTGGAGCACGGCAAACACGCTGCCCTACAAAGGAAGGGATTACAGCTCTCCAGGAGACAGGAAGAAGGAGAAGGGTTGGAAAGACGTCAGTGTAGACTTGAGTCAGGAATTGCAAATGACATCATGACACGACCTTCCGCTTCCTGCAAGCCCACACAGGGCACAGCAACCCCGCACAAACCTCCAGCACCTCCTGTTAGGTAATCCCCACCTTGCCACGCAAACATCAATTAAGCTTCTTACCTGCCCACCTCTCTCAGGGCTCCCAAGGATTACATCCTTCTGCAGAAAAGTGTCTGTCTCAAGGTCAGCCCGCGGCAGGAGCAGGATTACAGCTCCAATTTCCTTCACCTACAAAGCTCTGCTGCCTGTGCTGGGCTGCTTGGCCCCAGCTTGTCATCTGCCTCAAATGTTTGGGCCAGCAGGGTTGGAGGTGCATCTCCAGCTCAGTGGATTGTGGCATCTCTTGGCTTGTGTTCCCAGATTGGGGTTTGCAGCAGGAGGAACCCCTGGTGCAGCAGGATCACACTCTGCTGGTTGGTACCATTTCCATGGGCTGAGAGCCACAAAACACACCCCACACGCTCTGCAGAGCTATGGGATGAAAAGCCTCTCAAGACAGGTCTGGTGACAATCCTGCTGCTCTGCAGGATCAGTCCTGGGCATGCAAATGAATCCAGTGTGGACAAGAACACTGCTCCCTGAAACTCCTGAAGTTTTGCTTCCTCCCACACTCCTGACAGCCTTCTTGGGGCTATCCTGTTTCAGGCCAGGAATTGGGCTTTGATCATCCTAGTAGGTCCCTTCCAGCCCAGGATTTTCTGTGATTCATGTTTTATGCTTTCATGAAAAGGCAGTAATTTCACTGCAGATATTCTGCTGAAGTAATTAATTGCCTTGTGGGGGGCTCAGCTTTCCAATTTGCAAACTTGTCACTTCAGATAGGTTTTTGTCTGTTATTACATTAAAAAAAAAAAAAAAAGAAGCAAACACTGCCAGGAACAGTCTGTTGCTTCCTACAGTGTGCTGTGGCAGATGAATTAGTGTTGAGCACAAACATTCATACCACAAGCACCACATTCATACCCTCCTACCCCTTCCCCTGGCTGCCAATGCAAGGCAGACTAGATTAGTTAATTACATCTTTAATCCTTAATGATGGAATACTTGGAAAACTATTATTGATCTTACAGGACATAATTCATGACCTAATTAGGGTGATAAAACTGGGAGATTATCATCTTGCCAGCTATTAACGTCTAGCGCTGATCTGAGTTAATTAGAAAAGAGATGGGTGATTTCTATGCTTCTGGTTTGCAGCACAGCAGCAGAGGAATGAGGAGGCTGCTAAAGGCAGGACAAGCCATTCCCAGCACTCTGACTACTCTCAACTCAACCAACTGTTGGTCTTGCCCAGGAAAAACCAGGCACATTTAACCCTTTAGCTTAATTTCTTCAGCCATTTGAGTCATTGGCTCAGTGGGACAAGAGTGTTTGATGCTGTTCACCTTTCAGATGTTCAAATTGGAGCACAGACCTCCTTTTCTTTATCTTCTACAGAATTGAGGAGATTCATCAAGGTTCTTGGAATCACTGAGGTTGGAAAAGACCTCCAAGATCATCAACTCCAACCTTTTTCCCATCCCCACCTTGTGACCCAGCCCAGCGCCACATCCAGGTGTTCCCTGGACGCCTCCAGGGATGGGGACATTCCAATGCCTGAAGTTTGGACTAGGTCTTCAGTCACACTCAGTCTGGACTAAAAAAAAAAACATAAAAAATCAAGCAGATCCTTGACTTCTAGAGTTAAACTCACCCTCCCCTTAATGGCAATGATGGGTTGTGACTGAGGAAAGAAAAAAGCTCTTTTCCCTCACCAGTACTTGACTGTGCTTTTCCTGGGAAGGATGCAGCCCCACCTAAGTGCCAAGCTTGGATTTCCTTCATGGCTGCTCACAGGCCTGTTAGGGTCACACGATAAATCTGGAAGATGAGCAGCTTGGGAGTTTTCTACCCTCCTCAGGGCTGGTCTCCCCAGGAAACCCGTCAGCAGCAGAATAGGACGTGCCTTTAGAGTGTGTTACCTCTTCCATGAGCTTCCTGCAGTGTCTTGGTTTGACTTCCTAACTGGAGTCAGCTCCTGTGCCCAGACACAGCCCCGGCGCTCATCAGAAATGCCCACACGAGTTATGACACAGCTGCCGTCCTCCCCACACAGGTGATGTTTGGGCTTAGGGCTGTGACTCTGATCCTCGAGATGAGTCTGTCATTTCTTGGCTCTCAGCCATCCAGACAAGCCTTCAGCAGCTGAGACTGTAAATGCTATCACAATGGGCTGGTCAAGGAAAAACAGCTTTGAAGTTGGGCAAGAGCGGCCAAACCGAGATTTCGAGTAACGCCAGGCACTGAGGCTGCTGCACTCATGTGAACATGGAAGAAAGTCCAGCAGTGGGCAGGAGCCAGTGAGTGTTTGGGGTCAGTGTGGTGCAGAGCAGAGCTTCTTTTCTCATGCTGCACCACGAGCTCAACAAACCACACCAACCTCTTGCTTGAAATGCAGCCACCAAAGGAAGCTCTGGGTGCTGAGAGTGGGACCGGGAATCCCGTGGGCATCTCTGCCCTGGAGGAGCTGTCCCTGCACACACCCCACACACAAAAACTCGGTGGAACAGGGCTCTGAGGGAAGCAGGAGTGCTCAGCAGGGAATCTGCCACGTCTCTGATGTACAACACCAGGTAAAGTGCTCACCTTGTCATCAAAAGTGTGCAGCTCTCCCCACCCAGCTTGGCTCTGTCAAGTGCTTTAAGGGAAATAGGACACAAAAGGAGAGAGTGATGCAGTCTCACCAGCACAGCTGGCAGTGACAAAGGAGGAAAGTTCATCCCATGTAACTGCACACCTGTAATCATTCAGGTCCTGGCTGGCATTGGGAAACTTCAATCTGGGTGAGGTATCTGTTGTAGGAGATTCTTAATACTAAAAAACCCCTTGAAGCTTCAATAAAAGTTGATGAGAACTGAACACTTTGCACATAGGACTCTTCCATATATTTCTAAGTATTTGGATCATGGGAAAATAAGGCTCAAAAACCTTCTTGAGACAGTTTTTCCCCTGTTATTTGCTATTACCAGTCAGCACAGAGCTCTCGCAAGTTCCAGACCACACAGAGCTCCCAATTCTTATTCCCAATGATGAGGCTCTGCTGCCTCACTGCCAGTAATACCTGAGTGAAAGGGAACCACAAGAGGCTCACAACAACTTGTACTGGGTTTCTCAGAAGATAAACCAATGAGTAACAAATGGAAAATAAAAGTTCACTCCTGCTTTCGAAGTTGCTGAACTGGGAAGGACTTGAAGTGACTTTCTGAAGTATTTCCGCTGTTCTGGGAGAGCCTTTTCACAAGTGCTGGGGGTGAATGTTCCCAGCAAGAGTCTGATGACTTTTAACTCATCAGAAGGAGGTTGTCCTACTCTTTTGTGTGAGCTTTTGTGTTGGACAGTCCATGACGAATCAGGTTCCTGCAGTCATTTGTCCCAGACTCTTGTATGACATCCTCTCTCGAATTTTACTCCTTTATTGCCTGCAAACACCTCCTCCCCACGCAGCTCCTGCTGGGAAAGGCACTTCAGCATCTCTCTGAGGTTTTACTGAGGAACTTGTCAGCTGAGCATGCTTACAGCACTTCCCAATATTTCTGTGGAAAATGCATCATATTCTTAAGGAAAAAACAAGAAGAGGCCTCAGAGAATTATGCAATTGTGCTGTTCTGAAAGGAATTTCTAGTCAGGAAACTGCCACTACTACAACTGGGTCAAAACTGGGTAAGTATTACTAATTCCTCCTGTAAAGCATTAACTGAAAGAAAAAAAGAAAACCAGGCAAGAGAATGAGGAGAGCAAGAAAAAGCAGTGCTGTACTTGAAGCAGCCTGTCTAGCTTTTCTGTGTTTTTTAAAACAAGAAACCCAAGGAAACTCAGCTCTGTGAAGTGGCTGATAAGGTGACTCCGGATTTCACAAGCAAACACACGGAACTGAAGTCAAAGAAACAGTGAGCAAGCAACTAATCTGAGATGCCATCTCTGAAGTCAACGTGCAACAGGCACAAAAAATGATCTTGAGCTTGATCACACTCCTACCTTCAGTTAAACATTAGTCAAGCTTAACATTATTCCTGAAATTATATTCTTGATCCAAAACAGAGCTGCACAAAAACAATGAGAGTCTCTTGGTTATCAAAATGATCAATCTAAGCAAGGTTTCAGAGGCTTTTAGCTCAGCACTGACATCTCTTGCTATCAGGACTATCATGTGGGCCTGACATAAGTTCCACCCTTCCCAACTATCCAGGAACTGTGCCTCACACTCAGTGAGCTCACTGCCACATCAGCAGAGTGATGGAGAAGGTTTCCTAGAGCCCAAAACAAAGGTAGATGTGCTAAGAGTTACTAAAAGTTTACTTTGAGGCAGGAAGAATATGAGAACAGGGAGAAAAAAATAAAAATCTGATTAACTCGGTGTTAATAAGTACTTACATACGTGTTCAATGAGCAATTTTTAAAAGTAGAAATTATTTCCATTTTTCTCACAGCTGTCACCACCTGGGGCAACTTGTCCTCAGGCAAAAAACTTGTGAATAAGGTTTTCTTCTTTCAACAAAAGAAGAAAAAATTCACACATTAATAAAACTACCTGCATGAGTCAGAGATTCAGTTCTGACATAATAAAAAAAGCAATTATTGATATTAAATTAATAATTCTTATTTTATGCAATCCATTTCTCCATGCTGCTAATTATGCAATCCAGCATGCAGCTAATAAAGGATCAAGCAAGTCTGGAACAGCTTCCTCTATCAAAAATAGTTCAGAACCAAGTTTGCCTATTAATTTTAGTAAATTAAAAAGCTGAATGGATGTCTGAGAATTTGGACTCAACCTAAAGGAATCCCAAAGCTATTAGGCAATTAAATGACCTAGTGAAATTACAGGAATATTTCTCTCAGATAACAGTAAAGCTGTAAAGATTCACATCCACACAAACAGGGGAAAACATGACTTTTACTTACATTTCAGTGGCTATGAATCCGGTGAGCTCAGACAGGAAGAGAAACAATATGAAGAGACAGCAGCAGACAGAGACTGGAACAGAGGCAAGGAGAGGGAAAGGTTAGTTTTGTATGTCTAACAAAGACAAAAACTGTTTGCAACAGCCATATCACTGCCCCTATTGATATGCCACCCATACACAATTGAGAATTAACAATTTTTTAGAGTCCATGACACAGAGGAGCCCACCAGAGCAGTGACTTCAATGCTATGCCAATATCCAAACATCCTGAGGAACCATTAAAAGTTATAGAAGTTTATGAATGCATAAATACCAAACTTGTGTCTTTCCCACTGAGCAAACACTACAAGATTCTTCACACAAGAAAAAAAAATAAAAGCCCTCAAATTCACATAAAATCCTGACCACTGCTTCCCCACCCTTGGAACTTACCAAAGGCATGTCTTAATTCTGCTTACAGGCAAGATTATCTAGAAAAGCCTCATCTTAATTTCTTTGCCTCTTGCAGTGAAAATATAAGCATCCCTTGGCTTAATAATTAATGACCCATAACAGGGATATCTTCCACTTTTGGACCACTTTTTCTGTCATGATTTCCATCTCCCCCCAGCTCCTGCATTCTCCATTTTCAGCACACAATGCTGGTCTGCCATTTTCAAGAAGTGGGAGCTCTTCTTGACACGGCTGCTTGACAACACCACTTCTTTGGAGCCTTGGCCCCCAATTTTATCACTATTTAAACCTCCAGAAGGCAAAAAGAACCAGCACCTCCTTGCTCTGAAAGCACACAGTGCCCTTACATGGTGTTTTGGGGATGAGGAGATGCTTTGGCACCTCAGAGCTGGGACAGCAGAGTGGCAATACTGGAATTGTGCAGCCAGTGACTTCTCTCATTTCTCCATTTGCTGACAAACTGACTCTGCAGCGAGGGAAAATCCCCACTGAAGGAATTGTGAGGTACCCAGACAACAATTCCTAGGAATTCCAACCTGGAATGGCATGGAGGGAACCCAAAGCAACTGGAAATGTTACTGTTTGTTCTCCCATCAGGAAATTATTCCAACTGGAATGTTACTGCTTGTTCTCCATCAGGAAATTATTCCAACTGGAATGCTACTGCTTGTTCTCCATCAGGAAATTATTCCAACTGGAATGCTACTGTTTGCTCTTCACCAGGAAATTATTTCAACCCCTGAGCAGGGACATTGAGGCAGCAGTGACAGTCACCCACACAGGAGGGGCTGGAAGGAAGCATGGCTGTAAATCCTATGGATCAGGGATGACTGGAGCAGGCAAGGATGTGCCAGCTCAAGGGGACAGGGCTGCAGTGTGCCTCTGTGTTAAACACAATACCCAAATTCACCATGAATCACTCACAGAAAGGCAAAGCAGGAACTGACAGGCTCTTCCAGGGCTGTGACAGCCAGAGCACAATCCCAGCACAACCCCCCCAACCCCAGCACAGCTCTCTGTGAAATGACCACTTCACCACAGCCATTCATTAGGGTTGAGAAATACATTTAAAAAAAAGCCATGTTCCTCAACTTTACTCCACATGACCTGTACAGCCTGACTGCCCATTCCTTTGGGAAGCTCAAGTAACAACAGGCTGGGAACAATTTTATCACTCTCTTGGTAAAGAATGGGACAGGCAAGGGAAGGAAAGAGGTGCTGAGGGCAAGTACTGAGACAGAGCCTTGAGTGACCTAAAGCCTTGTGCCCTTCTTCCAGCTCTGAGGAAAGAGAAATGCGTTGCTTCCCCTTCCTCATCAGATTAATTTCAACTGGGGATTCATTTATTGACCTACTCTACAGAGCAAGGAATCCCCTGTACAGAGATGCCAAAAACAAAGATGCCAAAAAATCAACTAGTTAGATTGAGGAAAGAGAGGAAAAAAGCCCTGAAGACCAGTAGGAAAACAGGAAGCAAGAAGGGATATTAAGTCCTGTAGAGAAACCTCAGATGGATACACAGCTGTTCCCAGGTCTTGGCTGTCAGGACACAGAAGGTCACCAGGGCTGTGCCCCAGCTGAGCCTGGCACGGGGCACCAGGAGAAAGCTCTGCTCAAAGCACAGCAGCAAATTCTTGTGAGAACATCCACACCTACATAAGAGCCCAAAAAAAGAAACCAGGCAGCACATGAGCAGATCCAGTGTTTGTAGTGCTGATCATTGACAGAGAGACACGAGATCTCTGATCTCTGGCAGTTGCAGGGGAGAGTGTTTGACAGATAAAACCCTTTTTTCTTTAATTGCTTCCCATATTCCTTGCTGCTTGTTATAATCCCATAAAGGCTTTCCACAGCACCAGCCAGACCTCTCTGCTCTCAAGCACTTCTAGGAAAGCTACTACTAACTCTCTTAACTCAATTCTCTCCCAGAGCTTCCTCTCTTCTCCAATTTTTCAGCTTCCTTCTCTGCCACTTATATAATCAAAATACCTTCTTTTCCAGTACTTGCTCCCTCAAGTCCATCTTCAGTTCAGCTCTTGCATTGAAGGTTCGTGACAATACTTACCAACACAGCACAGTGAAATTCCACTAACCTATATCTAAAAAACCCTGCAAGAATGCCCTGAAGTGCCTGGCAGGGACTGACTTTCAAAGCTCCTCAATGCTTTGCCCAGTCTTCAAACCACAGAGTGAGTTTTGAAGCTGTAAAAGAGATTAATGAGGGTGGACATGAGAGGGGGATATAAAATCATGAGCAGCCTGAAGGAGGTGAGTGGGGAACAACCACTCACTGTCTCTTCCAGTGTGGGAACTACACGGAAAGGGGAGGTAAAAAACAAGGGGAGGTTTTCCTTTACACAACTGAATTCTGAGGATTCTTGACTACAGATGCTGAGGTTGCTTAAGAAATAAAACCTGTTCGATTACAAAAAGGAATCGTGCATGCCCTGAGGAAGAAATCCATTGAGGGATACTAAGTACAAGGAACCAACTCCAGCTTAGGAAGCTCAGGAGCCAACTGAGCAAAGCCTGGGGAAGTGTTTAACCTGCCCCTCCTGCTCCTTCTCAGGCATCTGCTGCCAGACACTCTGGGAAAGAGGACACTGGAGCGTTAAACTCTTCCTATACACAACATTTCCAGGGCAGGGGGAGTTTTTGGCATGAGACTGATGTGACAGCATTATCAGTTACTCTCTCCAGAGGCAGCATTTCCTCAGTGCAGAACAGGAGCTCCTCTCTCAGCCTGGAGCTGCAGGCACAGATGATGTTCCCAGCACAGGAATTTATGCATGGGGTGCTTCAGCTGCTTCTTTCACAGTGAAGGCTTTTACCTGCTTCCATGCAAATGTGCAGTCCTACCACCCACATTTGACAAGTGTATTATATTTGGAAAAGTAGATTAAAGGCTAGGATGAGACAGAATCAAACAATTCATGCATAAAGCTTCGTTAACTGCAAGAGCACGGTGACATTCCCACAGAGCTCCAACAACATCTGAGACAGGTTTTTTTAAAGCTCTAATATGATAACATGATCAATATATCAAAGGTTGCTGGTGTAGATACACTGCTAATCTGCAATCCCAAAAGGATGGGAGACTCTGCCAAGGTTTTTATTTCTGCACTAACCTTTTTGTGCTTATCCCTTCCACTACAAACTCTGTCTGCGTACATTCCTGGCTCTGCCTCCCTACCCCACGAGAAATGAGAGAAAGGCAAAGTGTTTAACACATCACACAGACTGAGAACATGGAGCCATGCCTATATTAAGGCATAAAATTAATAGTATTTATCATTCACTGGAGCAAACTGCTAAGAAGCACAAGGAACGGGTCCCGTTACAGGCGCCATGTGAATCATAACTTCGATATTTCCTGATGTGTATTTAAAACTCCAGCCCCCAAACAGCACAGAGTATTTCTGGATAACGTTTCCATGTGTGCATACAACATGTGCATGCAAACTATGCATCCACACTGATGGCTGGAGAGCAGGATGGTGACAGCAGCTGCCTGGGCTGCAGGCTCCTCTCCAGAGCCCCACTGCTCCTGTCCAGCCAGATGCCAGCTGTCAGCCAGCCAGGAGTGCTGCTGCTGCTGCCTCTGTACCCAAACATGGCCAGGCTGTCACCACGCCTGTCACAGTGGCACCACAGACATGCTACACACAGTGGAAGGACCTGCAAAAGCTGCTGGAAGAGGGACAACAGCACGACAGGGATGCTGCCTGAAAAAGGGAATTTTATTGAGGAAAAGGAATGAGTAACTTCTACACCACAGCAGTGGCTGTGCTGCTCTGGACAAACCTTACCCTTAGTAAATTCTTGGTTTGTTCATTCCTAAAAAAATAGTTTGTAGTTGAGTGGCTGCCACACAGATCTGAAGTATCTCGTATGCAGTGTTCACTGCATACAAATTTTGGAATTAAAAATCTATACCTAATAAAGCCTCAAAAACTCCAGTTGGCTTCTGAGCTTGTTCATGTTTGAGATCACCTGCTCTTCTCCCTCAAAATCCCCCAACATTTACTCTCCCTTAGCTGCTTCTTCCCTAAAAGCCTTGGCCCCTTCAGCCCTGGAAGTCAGGAGCAGAGCTGCTCTTTTCTACCTCTTTTCTTCTTTAATCTGATCTGTGCCTTCTTCCCAAATAATCAATTTTTTTTTTTTTTAATAGACATGGATACAATCCAAAAGCCACTGCTGAAACCCTGTAGAAACCTCTTCAAGAAAGCCTTCAGCACCAGAAGTGATACTGAACTAAGGTTTCAGCAGAAATCATATGGGAAAGGCCTAAATTAATAGTTGGATATCATGGACTATTTTATATCTGCTCTGTAAAACTTGGAGGACTTAAAGAAAGCCCAAATAAAGTTGCAATCACAGTAATTCCACATGACTACTAAAGCCTAAAAGCTTTTTTGAGAGTCAGAACCTTCCCCTGCACTCAAGCCCCCAGTGTTAACAAAGGCTGACTTCCCTAAAGCAATTTTTCACCAGGTCATGCAATCTTCCCAGGCTTCCAACTGGCCTGGCAATGGGCTGGTCTCATCCATGGCCTCCTACAACACCTAAGATTAGTGGCTTTCAAATTACAAGCCACAGGCTTGGTCAGACAGAAAAAAGCCCATTAGAAAAGCTGCTCACAAGATCCTCACAGGCAGAGCCACCAGTTTGTTTGCTGCCTGTGTGGTTCAGAAGCTTCTATCAGGCTGCCTAAAACATTGAGAAAAAGAAGGAGAACCAGTTAGAGAAGAAAATCAAAGCCTGAGAAGCTGTAAATAACAGTAGAGAGAAATAAGTCAGCTAATAATTGTAAGGAAGAGTCACAACCTTGAAGCCTTCCCACAACAGACTTATCACTTGAGCTGTTTACTGCAGATCTGAAAGCCTAAACTCCATGGCCTTTGATGGTTTCTTTTTTTTGCTTCTAAAATACTCTTTTGCAGGTGATTCATAACAAGACAAATTCTCAAAGGGAGCCCAGTGGCAGTGTGGGAACTCTCAGTTTCCAAAACAGAAGAGAAAGCAGGATCACTCACAAGTTCAAAGTGTTCTTTCAAAACACTAAATCTCACCCACCCCTGAATTCCCAAACAGTTTGAGTCAAGCTCTTTGTTCACAACTTCAACAAACCCAAATGGGAGTTGGGATACAAGTAATTCAGTGGCCAGGAGAACTCAGGGGACAAGGACTCAGAGTAAATATTTAGGGAAATGTGTTATCTTCACAGAAGCACAGGGTAGCTGAAGCTGGCAGGGACCTCTCTGGAGCCCATCCTGTCCAACTCCCCTGCTCTGAGCAGGTTACTCAGGCCCAGCTCTGGTTTTTTGGAGCATCCCCAAGGATAGAGACTCCACAGCAGCCTGGACAACCTGTTCTTCGACCATGCTCACAGGCAGGAGTTTCTCCAGCTCACAGAGGGCTTTCCTTTGTGTCCTGATTCACTGGCACTGACTCAGTCCTGCGTGCTGTCACCAAGGGATGTGACATCACTCACGTCAGCAGTGACACACAAGACTACTGACCCACCTACCAGCATGGCTGAGTGGGGCACAGCTCCCTGATCAAAGGAAGTGCCTGCTCCAAGGGCCAGGAGAGCTGCATGAGCAGGGTAATGACAGGCCGGGCAGGACCAGCCTGATCAATGTTTACCAAGCCCTCTGCCCGGCCAGCTCGCTGCACATAATTGTGTGAAATCCATTACTCAGCCTCCCTCAGGAGCAGGAAGGAAGGAAAAGGGGCCCAAGGCAAGAGATCTGTATCAGCCAAAGTCTGTGTATTGATACACGGCAGTGAGAGTGGATCCCTATCAGTGGATGGAGCTGGAGGCTCTTCAGGGCCCCTTCCAACCCAAACCATGCCACAATTCTGAATTCACACCACCTATTCCACTGTTTGGTGGGCAGAACAATCTGCCTCAGCAACAAAGGACACCCTTTCCAAGGCTTAACATCCCTTTAAAAGAATTCCCTGCAGACAGAGAGGCCAAACAATCTTTAATTTTAGACCAGGGCTATGCAAGGACATCAAAAAGAAAGTTACTTACTAATGGCCCCTGTGTAGGTTGGCTGTGTAAGGTCTTTTGGCACCTTCCTGTAGATGTCAAACCTGAAAGAGGAAAAGCACCAGCCATAAAACAGGTGGAACATTTCAATACATTTCAAGCCCCCACAGGGATGAACGATGCTGAAGTTTTTTCCATCCAGCTTTCCAACAACATTTTTTCAGTAGCAGGAGGATATAGGAAGGAAAACAAAACAAAACAAAAAAAACCCTTTTCTTTTGTACAATTATGTAACTGTGCTCTGTCTTGGCTCCCATTTCCAAAGCATTTCCCTCCCTCTCCCTGCTGTGGATCTGTGCAATCTGAACTGCGAGAGCAGCCAGGCAAGAAGTCATGCTGGACAAGTTTATAGACCACTCTAAAAAGAAAAGGATACTCTTCAGACTCGTGAATAAAAACCCCAGTAAAACACAATCTGTATTGCCCCTTTTCATGTGTATCCTGCAAAGCCAAAAATAGACGCCCCCTAAGTCAGAAATCCAGGTGTTGAGATAAAAAAAAAATCCCTAGGACATTGGATACCACAACAGAAATTAACCCAACAGGTTTGTTCCTCCCCCAGCTAAGCCCAGTTTAATATTAGCCCGTTGTTTTGATTCAGTCATAGTTTTTAATATCCATAAGGCTCAGCTTTGCTATTTTAAACTGCCCATGGTTAAACTCTCCCTGCCCTCATGTGTTAGCTGTGTTATTTCCTACCACCTTGTGTTCCTGCACGCCCAACCGCAATGCAGCTCTGACATCAGCTTTTCCATCACTCAATAAAAATTAATTAATGCATTAAAAACACCCACCCACCCTAAAGAAGGAAGTGATCGGTTCCCCCTAAAAATAGACTTTTTTGGATATGCCACAAGTGGGTGAGAGCTGATGCTTTTTCCAGCCCTGGAGAGGGCTTCCAAATTCCCAGTCTACACTGCACCAAGATGAAACACCCCTGTGTTTATTCAGTAGCTCCTACTACATCAAATATTTTGCTGCGAGTTTAAAAACTAGATAACTGTTCTTTTCTCTAGTCTTCAACTGCTGAGATAACTCAGAGGAACTGCATGAACAAAGCATTTGCCTTGCAGGAGATCAGAAGGATGCTGTGCTTCAGTCAGGAGTTGAAGCTGGAGGAAGGCAGGGAAGAGAGGGAATGGAGTGCAGGTAGGAAGATATTTGAGCTGCCCAGCTGGATCCTGAATAAGCTGTGCCATCCCTTAACACCCCAACAACCCTCTGTGGGACACCTGACAGCACTGCTGCACAGGAGCTGTGTTTTCATCCCCCTTCTCCCTGCTGCCTCCTAACCAGACCAGCAATATTCCCCAGCCAAACAATCCATGTATGGTTTTCCAGCTGCCCCGAGAACATCTGGAAAGTGCTGTTTGCATTCTTTCCACATCCACCGAAGCATCAGGATGGTGAAAGAACCCAAAGTAGCTGATGACATCATGGTCTCACAGGCAGAGGAAGCTGTTGCTCTCGCAGCCCATTAAATGCTGAAAGCTGGCGTCGTCTGGCCAAAGTCACAATAATAGATCAACAAGGCTAAAAAAGCTGAGAGAGAAACAGAGGGAGACAGAGCACGTGAACACCAGGAGCTGCTGAGTGTGAGCCAACACTCAGAAATAGGAAACAGCTCCAGGCTGGATTCAGTAAAAACAGCAGTGTGTGGATACTATAAAAGGAAGTTTGTTCTCACCATCAGGAATATTTACTAGTATTGAAATGATGGCCCATCACAGCTTTAAAAGAAAAAAAAAAAAAATCAGCTTTTTAAACAACTCACTGGAAAGCTGATGTCGTATGAGGCAGAGTTCTCTCCTCTGAGATTGTAATTTCATCACGTAAGTAACACCCAACACCACAAATGAACTTTTCCATAGCCTATGTAAGCTTGGATTAGGCAGAGACACTACAAAAAGTGCTCGATTAAAGTTTTAGGGATGAAAGCAGAAGCCTGAAGGATGACATCCAGGACCTGACCCAAGCAGAAGGGAAGGGAAGGAGGGAAGGTGTATTAAAGCTTGCACAAGGATGCTGGAATGATCACAACAATCAAAAAAGACAAGTTTGGGGTAAGAGGCAAACACTGCTAGTTAGATTTTGCTCACTGATGTGTGATACCAGCAAATCCAAATGATCACCAGCCCAAACGAAATAGGACTGGCTATGTGCGAGTCCCCTGGCAGAACAATAAATTGCTTGGGAAAGACACGTGCTGAGCTAGGAGGGTTCATAATCTGGCACAGGAACAAGAGTCCTCAGGGCTCTGGGCAACCTCTCACCTGATACTGGCCACAATTTCCTCAGTCTGATCCCTATTAGTTAAAACAGCAGTGGAAGGGAAAGGGGGAAATCCAAATGGCATCAAAGTTTGAGGAGAATGATGGGAGATGGTATGGTCAGGACAAAGAGCCACCTTCTTCATTTCATTTTAACTCCAAGTTAGAAGAAGATATGAAATGTAAAGGAGTCAGTGACAGCTTGAAAAGTATGTTTGGGAGACACCAGAGAGATCAAATGCTAGCAATGAGGACAGCAGCTCAAAGAAGGCTTTGTTAATTATATATAATAATAAAAATAAGTAAATCAAGCGAACTTCTCAAACAAGCCTGTGAAGTTGATAAGAGTTATTGTAACAGGAGACCCAATGCCCCAAGAAATGAGAGATTTGTGGCAGTTCCTATCAGACCTAGAGTTATTGTAACAGGAAAACCCAAAGCCCCAAGAAATGAGAGATTTGTGGTAGCTCCTATCAGACCTAAGGGTTAAAAATCTGCCTCCACTAGAAAAACCTTTCTCCTTTTACCACTGGCTCTTTGCCTACCTCCCAGAACTGAAAGCAGACCCAGGAGAGCACTTACACTGTCCTGGGAAGAGAAAAGCATGAGGATTAGACACCAGAATGATTTGTAATGCAGGAGGGAGGAGGCAGTGGAGCTGTGCGCATGGCAGAGGGGAACAGGTTTTACCTGCCCTGGGGTCAGAGTTCCTGCAAGCACCTGCAGTAAAAATTCCAAGAAGCCTCCAGGTTCCTGAGGCATTGGTCACTCGAGGAGTATTTGTAGCCTGGGAACATACAGGAACCTTGTGCTGTTGCAAGAGCTGCTGTACCCAAAGCAGTGGAAGGTGCTGGCAATGCTGCAGGGAGCCTGGATGAGCAGAGGGGCTGCAGCTGCCAGCCCACAGGGCACACACACCCCCTGTGCCACCCTGAGCAGCCACTGCCACAGTCTGGGAGTCATCTTTCGTGACCTGGAGGAACCAGGGTGTAGATTTACAACTGCTCAGTGCACTCCCTTAACCTGCAGCTCGTCCTGCTTTAGCACGGGAGACATCACTTCACACTCCCACAGCAGGCACATGTGCATTTTCCACTTCATGTTGTTTATTTTTAGCTTTTGGCAAGTTTCTTCCTGCCCTCAGAAAGGCGAGACTTGTAAGGCGAAGTTGTATCTTAGAGGTGATCAATTAACATCGTTTTAGAGTGGAAACAACAAACTTGCTGCTAGGAAAGTTTTTCCTCCAGGTCATGTGTGTTCTCATAAAGAGAAGGCTGGACCTTGCAATTCCAGAATATGAGGCTAAAGATAGAATTAGGCTGTCATCAGTACAACAGAGGAATTTCCTGACACATCCATAGTGTCTTTTCTTTCAATGGAGAGCAGGGCTGCAAACAAAGGAATAAAAAAAGCCCGTTTGGAAATGTCAGAGGTTTGCAGGAACCAACATCCATAACTAACATGAGGGAGTGCTACAATACTCTTTTATCAACCCAAGAGTTGAAAGGACACAGCAAAAAAAAAAACTTTCTCACCTTCCTGGTGGGAATGCTAACAAACTGGTAAAGCAGCATCACAGAGATGAGCAGGGTGATTCCTAAATTCACAAATCTCTGTGTGATTAAGGCAGGTCTGGGGCAGAACTCCACTCTCTGGTGGCCAGCAGTGCCACAGTCCTCTTGAAAGGAGTGAGGCGAGATCCAGGTGGTGACCTCAAAGGAGCCAAACAAAAGGGTGGCACAGTTCAAGTGCCAGCAAGTGTCAGAAGGATTTCAAAAGCTGTACCTACACTAATATGGGCTGCTGCTACTCAGATTTTTCTTCAGGCAGAAGTAGATCATGGAATCACACAATGGTTTGGGCTGGAAAGGAGCTTACAGAGCATCTCATTCCAAACCCTGCTATGGACAGGGACACTTCCCACTATCCCAACCTGGCCTTGGGCACTTCCAGGGGTCCAGGGGCAGCCAAAAAAGATTTCCATGAGCAGGTGAAAGAGTTGTGCTGGCCCTTAAAGGAGCTTATCATGGAATAGTTTGGGTTGGAAGGAAGCTTAAAGATCATCCAGTGCCACCCCTGCCATGGCAGGGACACCTTCCACTGTCCCAGGCTGCTCCCAGCCCTGTCCAGCCTGGCCTTGGGCACTGCCAGGGATCCAGGGGCAGCCACAGCTGCTCTGGGCACCTGTGCCAGGGCTGCCCACCCTCCCAGGGAAGAATAATATCCATTCTAACCCTACTATCTGTCAATTTAAAGCCATTGCCCCCTGTCCTGTCACTCCAGATCCTTGTAAAACTCTCTCTCCATCTTTCCTGCGAGGCCACAGCTGTGTCACCCCTCCAGGTGAGCAATCCCAGCTCTCCCAGCAGAGCTGCTCCATCCCTCTGATCCCCTGGAGCTCCTCTGGGCTCTGCAGCAGCTCCAGCTCCTCCTGTGCTGGGGCAGGGCTGGGGCAGCTCTGCAGGTGGGTCTCACCTGAGCTGTGCCTGCCAGTCCCAGGTGAGTGGCAGGGAGGGCAGAAGACCCAAACACTGCAGTTTTTTTCTAGAGATGATGCTTCAGCTGCCTCCCCTGTGCAGAGGATGAGCTCACTCCCTCAGCAGGAGCTGCCTGCCAGGGCTTTATGTACACTTGAACAGTTTCAAATTTGGACCCAAAATATTTCAGGAAATGAAGTAATAAATACATTATTTCACTGAAGATGTCCACACCTCCAAACAGAAGAATCCTTTCTGACATCTTTGGAATCTGAGAAGAGCTTTTATAACAACTCT